TTCGGGGTCGGCGGCATTGGCGGCAGCCATTAAATATATATATATATATATGTATACATACATACGTACATACATACATACATACATACATACATACATCCATGCATACATACATACATACATGCATACCTACATACACACACATATACTAGCATCTTCTGCACTACAGCATACAATATGCGCCCCATGTCCTGCATACAAATGTATTGTATATATATACATACATACATACATACATACATACATACATACATACATACACATACATATACATATACATATACATATACATATATATATATATGTATGTATATATTTTTATTTATTTGTTTATTTATTTAGATGTATATATGATAATATATATATATATATATAATACGCACTTATGCATAGATCTACATAGATATACAGCGTTGATGAACCTCACACGCCAGGGGCCCTTTTGGTCTCCCCTCGCAGCTGCGACCTCCTCTAGCGGGCTTTCGGATCACAGTGCCGTCAGGCTCAGCCTTTTCGCTTGGCCTCTCCGACAGAGCCCATCAAGGGCTACGGGCTGAAGGATTTTATGCCTTAGGGTGAGGGTTTAGGGATTTTGGTTTTCAGACTTAGGCTTGGGCATGGAGCCATGAGGCTTGGGTGGTCAAGTCCAGATGTAGCCCAAAAACTGTGAAAAGACTCGGCCAGAAAAACGTGGTAATATCGTCGCCATTTGCACAGCCAGCAAGCCCTGTCTGGAGCAGTGGTCGAGGTGATGGTGGTGGTAATAGCAGCAGTAGTAGTACAGGTCGGAGCAGCAGCAGTCGTGGTGGTAGGAGCAGTAGAAGGAGGACGAGCAGTAGCCATAGCGCTAGCAGTGGTCGTAGTAAAAGCAGTAGCTGCAGTGGTAGTGGTATAGTAGCAGTAGTAGTAGTGGTAGTCGTCGTCGCAGCAGCAGCAGCAGCAGCAGCGGCAGTAGTAGTAGTAGTCGTCGTCGTCGTCGTAGTAGTAGTAGTTGTTGTTGTTGTTGGTGTTGTTGCAGTAGTCGTCGTCGCAGTAGAAGAGGCAGCAGCAGCAGCAGCAGCAGCGCAGCAGCAGCCGTAGTCGTCGTGATAGTGGCAGTGGCCGTCACAGTGGCAATGGTAGTGGTAGAAGCAGTGGCTGTTGCAGTGTGATGGTAGTGGTAGTGGTCGTGGTAGTCGTGGTGTAGAAGTAGTAGGCGTTGTTGTTGCTGCTGTTGCTGATGTGACAGTACGAGTACAAGGAGCAGTGGGAGTAGAGGTACTAGTGTCAGTTGTGTTGGTGATGGTGCAGTACCGCATTCGCATTCGTAGCAGCAGCAGCAGCAGCAATGACGACTGCAAAGCAACAGTCAGTAAGATCAGCGGTAGACGTAGCACTAGAAGCAACGGCGGCAGCAGGGAGTGTCGTCATCGCCGTCGCACCGTCACTACCACTACCACAACCACCACTAACATGAGGCTACTCAGAGAAAAAAGCCTGGAAGCCAAGAGCAGCGCAACCGATCACAGGCAAGGGCAGCCTAGAGGCTTCCAGTCCGCATAACCAAACAATAAATCGCAAGGTCTAGCTTTCCAAGTGCCGAAAGCCTAAACTCCACTCCCGAATAAGCGCCATCAGCCTGCTCGTTCTCTTGCATCATGGCGTCCTACATGCGCGTAGGAATCACTAGCTCTGACGGAATATCAGCTCTGGGAATTCAAGACTGGAAGTCCACGACTCGGCTTCGCCAGCGTATCGCGCAAGTTTCAGAGGATTTGTTGTTTGTCACAAAAACTGTCATGTCACAGGGCAGTCCAACTTTGGTTTGAGCTTGTACGGGACTATACTTCCTCAAATAAGCCTGACAGCTCCTGATTAGGAGCATCAAGGCCAACTACCCCCTCCCCTACGGTTCCTTATGAAAACTTCACTCGCGGCAATAACTTCAAGCAGAAGGTGTATCGCAAAAGCAAGGTCGATGCCCGACGGGTTTCTTGTTCTGCTTCATGCTTCAAGGCTCATTAGCAGTCGTGACGGCCGCAGCCCTGAAAAGGAACAGCTCGCCGAACCTGCTCGGATATGTGGTGGAGCACTGCCCTCTTGCTCGACTCCTGCAGTTCGTGGTGCTGGACCAATTGAAGACTGCTGTGGCGACAGAACATTCCACGGCATGAACGACTACCATTCTATTTCAATGGCAGCTGACTGCCCTGCCGCGTCTGCTCGCCGTCTATGCGGAATCTGCCCATGTACAGCCCCTCTTTCACCTGAAGCTCTCCGCTGATCAGGATCTCGTCCAGAATATAGTACGCCTGCCGATCAGGCAGCTGCCTAAGAAGATCCCTGAAGTTTTTTAGGGAGTCTAGGCCCTGGATGGTAACAAGAGCTGCCGGACCCCCATGTCACTGCCAAGGAAAGATGGAAGTACAATCTACTTGCACAAAACATGTGAACAGTAAGTAGCAGTGGGAACAAAAAACCGATGAGCTGACCCCCGCTAAAACACAACCTCCGTGGTGCGTGCTAATGCATGCATGATTCATCGTCGTCGCCATCACTGCAGTAATGTCAGCACAGTCTCACGGGTGTTGGTACTGCAGGCCATGCCACTATCAACACTACCAACACCAGTACTGCTGCACTTATGAGTTTCTGTCTCTGACAGACTGTGAACAGCAGTAGTGGAAGTAGCAGCAGCCATGACACCGAAACACCTTCGCGCATTCTCGTAACAAGAAAGCTCCGTCCAGGTAGTAATTGTCTGAAGGCCGAACCAGTTCAGAAACAGGACGGCGGACCAAGGACATCATGCGGAAAGGGAGGCAGAACACAGAACACAAACTCACAAACTCCATTGCGGCCGACAAAAAGATGTTTGAAACATGCATGGCAACGCACGACCTTTTAAATCTCACGCGCCTTGTGAAAGTTGAAGATGAGGTCCAGCTCACAGACATTGCCGAAGTACCGGTCAAGGCACTCTACGAAGTGATGGACCTGGACTGGCACGCGCAGGAACGGTGCAGGCAGCGACGGTGACGACTGCGAAAGCTTGCTGGCCATCTGCGGTGATAACTATTTTATAGGCTGAAATGGCCGCCTCGGCTGGTGCTCTGTAGCAGCCATCTCGCCAAGCTCCCAGCGGTTTCAAGAGCAAGGAGCTCGTTGTCCGTGTTCTCCACACACGCAATGAAGAAGAGGCTGGCGCACGGGCAACACTACGGTGGACTTATCTAAAGAATACAGTATCCAGTTGGTTATGTTTGTCCCGTTCTTTTGAAGGCCGCACCTGCTCGAGTTCTGGCAACGCAAAACCCCCAGATGCTAACCCCCCTACCCTGATCACAAAACCCTAAACCCTAAACCGCCTACCCTGATCACAACACCCCAAGGTCTGACCTGGCGTAGCGCTTGTAGCATAGCTTGTAGTCCCGCCACTCCAAGAAGTTGCAGACCTCAAGAGGGGCCAGGGTTGAAACGGCCTCTGGGCCCTGGAGTCTCTCCAAGGGTCAACCCATAACAAACCCCCCAAAATATGCCCGGGATCCTCAAGCACCCCCCCCCTTTTTTCGTGGAATCTGGCGCCAGAGTGAAGATCTCCTGAGCTTAGGACCTTTGGAGATCTGTTGAGAATTAGACTGCTCACCTGGCGCGAGAAGAAGGACAGTCGTCACGACGAGTCTGGGACCCGGGTGGGCAATAACTGCTCGACGCGCTCCATTGGGATTGCTGCAGATCATCGCCAAAGCGTGGGAGATACTGGCAGCACAAAAGTCAAGCCCAATTTCTGAGTATACTTACTAGATGAGACCGTCAGTAGCTTACTCACGAGACGCACATACTTCCAAACCCCCTGCTTCCGTGTTCGAAAGCATGAGATCGCAACGAGTCCAAGACCCCAAACCAAAAAACACTCAGCTCAACCCTCCCCACGCCTTCGAGAGATATCACTCATATTCATGTATTTGCTCTATATATGTGTGTATTACATATATGTATATATATATATATGTGCACATAAATACATTGCCATACATACACACACACATACATATGTCGATATGTATGCAGATGTGCATGGGGAGACATGGCCATAGATTAAAATATGAACAGGTATGTAGGTAGGTCGTCTCTCTACTAACCCAACGCCATCGAAACCCTAAACCGGAAACCAGAACCCGCCCAGCTGCGACCCGTTCTACGAAACCCGAACCGTCCTAACCTCCCCTAAACCCTAAACCCTAAACCCTAAACCCTATAAACCCTAAACCGTGCGTGCGCCTCCTTGATGGTCCTAAACTGATCGCGCTCTGCACAGGGCACAAACCACTTCTTGAGCCTGGCAGATGTCGGGGCTAAAGTAGTTCCTTTTTGGGGTTCATATATGGGAGTTTCCGAAAATAAGG